CGGAGGCTCTCGCCTGTAATCCCAGCACTTTGGCAGATCACCTGAGGTCAGGAGTTTGAGACCAGCCTGGCCAACATGGGGAAACTTCGTCTCTACTAAAAATGCAAAAATTAGCTGGGTATGGTGGTACACACCTGTAATCCTAGCTATTCGGGAGGTGAGGCAGGAGAATTGCTTAAACCTGGGAAGCAGAGGTTGCAGGGAGCTGAGATCATGCCATTTTACTCCAGCCTAGGCAACAAGAGCGATACTCTGTCTCAAAAAAATAAATTAATTAAGAGAGCAATTAATACCTGTTATATTTATATATATATATTTGAGACAGAGTCTTGCTCTGTCACCAGGCCAGGGTGCTTTTACACAATCTAAGCTCACTGCAACCTCCATCTCCCAGGTTCAAGCGATTCTCCTGCACCACCACACCCAGTTAATTGTTGTATTTTTAGTAGAGACGGGCTTTCACTATGTTGGCCAGGATGGTCTCAATCTCTTGACCTCATGATTTGCCGGCCTTGGCCTCCTAAGTGCTGGGATTACAGGTATGCACCACTGCGCCTGGCATACCTACAATATTATACCTAGTCTTTACCACAACATTTAGGCTTTGATTATACATTTTCTTGTAAGACCTATGAACTTGATTTATTTATTCAGTCTCCATAATTAATCTGGGAGTGTCTCTGTAATAGGGACACTCTTTCGTCTCTCCTCATGGTGCCTAGTTTTGAGTGGACACTTGATAACTTACTGCTGGAGTAAACTGTCAACTGTGAAAATGGATTGGGGCCCAAGTATGGAGGGCCCTTGTCCTCCTGTAATCTCTCTCCCAGTTGGCAGTACCACCATCCACTCAGTCACCCATGGCAGAAACCTGGAATCATCTTTAACTTCTCGTCCTTTTTCTTAATCGAGGCATTCCAGTAGTTATCAAATTCCAATAATTCCACTTTCCATGTATTTCTCAAAAACCTCTCCTCCCCTATATCCTTCCACTGTGGTAGCTTTGGCTTAATCTTCTCTCACCTACATTTTGCCAATAACTTTTTAGCTGGTCTCTTTGCCTTCAGTCCTGCCCCCTCAAATCCATCTTTCCAACAGCCAGCAGAGTTAACTATCTAGAATATAGATATGACAATGTCATTTCACAGATTACTCTTTTAAAGTTTCCTGATGGACTCTAAGTATTTAGCCTAACACATGAGGTCTCCTGTGATCTGGCCCTGCCTACATCTCAGCCCTATATCCCACCTCTCCAGCCTTATCTCTTCCTACTCCCAGCCTGAAATGTTATGCTCCAGCAAGAGAGGCCCATCTGTGGTTCTACCATATCTGCCTTTTTGTATGTGGCTTCTTGACCTTCTCAGATTTCACCCTCTGCCTGAACTGCCTTTTATTTTCCCCCTGGCTAACTCGTCATTACCCTTTAAAAGTCAACTCAGTTGTCACTCCTCCAAAAAGCCTTTCCTGCCTCTTCCTCAACACCCCTTTGCCAAAGCAGGATTAGGTGCCCCGCTTCTTCAGTCCCATAATGCTCTGTACATGTCACCATCATTGATCTGACTATATTTCTTTTCTTTTCTTTTCTTTTTATTTTGAGATAGAGTCTCACCCTGACACCAGGCTAGAGTACAATGGCGTGGCTTTGGCTCACTGCACCTCCCAGGTTCAAGTGATTCTCCTGCCTCAGCCTTCTTAGTAGCTGGGACTACAGGCATGTGCCACCACACCCAGCTAATTTTTGTATTTTTTAGTAGAGACGGGGTTTCACTATGTTGGCCAGGCTGGTCTTGAACTCCTAACCTCGTGATCCACGCACGTTGGCCTCCCAAAGTGCTGGAATTAAGGGTGTGAGCTGCCGCATCCAGCCCTGTATTTCTTTATGTCTGTGTAAAGGTCTGTCTCCCCCATTAATGATTAAAATTTGTGAGAGTAGGAGAGCATATTACTCATCTTTTAACTCTTGTATCTAAGACATAGGTGGATTCTTGGTCAATATTTGTTGATTGAATAAATTAGCATGAATTGTCAGAGTCACAAAGACACCAACAGATATATACACATAAATATTCTTACCATCTCCCAAGGAACCGATCCAAGCATCTGTGCTCTCTGGAACTCAGCTTATTTCAAAATGCAAAGTTATGCATAGCTGGATGCTATACTACTTGAGATTAAGGGTTCTACCAACTCATTCTGGGAATCTAAACAAGGATCTTTTTAACTGAGTCTCTCTCTCTCTTTCTTTCTCTCTCTCTCTCTCTCTCTGTGTGTGTGTGTGTGTGTGTGTTTATGACTCTAGCCTGCTCCTGGGGTTTTAATTCATCTTTAGAGAAATATTAATTATAATTTAATTCAACTGAAGAAGCAGAAGACATAATAACAAAACAAAGAAAAATAGGTTGGGTGTGGTGGCTCACGCCTGTAATCCCCGACTTTGGGAGGTCAAGGCAGGCAGATCACAAGGTCAGGAGATGGAGACCATCCTTGCTAAAATGGTGAAATTCTGTCTCTACTAAAAATACAAAAAGTTAGCCAGGTTTGGTGGCACACACCTATTATCCCAGCTACTCGAGAGGCTGAGGCAGGAGAACCACTTGAACTTGGGAGGTGGAGGTTACAGTGAGCCAAGATCACACAACTGTGCTCCAGCCTGAGCGACAGAGCAAGACTCAGTCTCAAACACACACACACACACACACACACACACACACACATACACACACGCTGATTTCTAGTGAGAAAAGACCATATAGTGCAGAAACAGCAAACACCCAGAGAGATCTGAAGTGAGAAGAAGCTTTCAAATTGCAAGGTGGACTTTGGACTTTATTCCAGTGTGTGTGGAATCAAATTTATCTAACAGAGATTTATCCAGCATATTGCCCATCCCCAAAACATCCAAATATTTTGAAATGACTTTTTCTGTTCATAGATGTTGGGAAAGCAGACAAATAAATGATAGATAGATAGGTATAGACACACACACAAACACAAACAAACATATTCTTCAATAACAATAGAGCAGTAAGCCCCAGTGAAGACTTCTTCTTCTTCTTCTTCTTTTTTTGAGACAGAGCCTGGCTCTGTCACCTAGGCTGGAATGCAGTGGCACGATCTCAGCTCATTGCAACTTCCACCTCCCAGCTTCAAACAATTCTTCTGCCTCAGCCTCCTGAGTAACTGGGACTGACTACAGGCGTGTGCCACCATATCCAGTTAATTTTTTGTATTTTTAGTAGAGACCGGGTTTTGCCATGTTGGCCAGGCTGGTCTCGAACTCCTGACCTCGGCCTCCTAAAGTGCTGGCATTACAAATGTGAGCCATCATGCCCAGCTAACTTCTACTTCTGAATCTTAAACATATTAATTAGAAGCCCTTCATCTTGACTCCAGATGGGACTGGGTACATAATTTTGGAAGCCGGCCCACTGAAAAATGAGAATCCAGGGCCCCTTGTTCAAAAAGTAAGTATTTTAAGACAGCAACAGCAGAGCATTGAGCCAAGCATGAGAGTCTTCTGAATGCAGAGCTCATGGGACTGTACAGTTCATACATCCATGAAGCCATTTCTGGTGAAAGAGTTCCTAAATCAACCCCAACTACCTCTGATTAAAGGTCACTATTATTTTTTAAAAATTAGTTTGGCCAGGCATAGTGGCTCACACCTGTAATCCCAGCACTTTGAGAGGCCAAGGTGGGTAAATCACAGGTCAGGAGTTCAAGACCAGCCTGACCAACATGGTGAAACCCCATCTCTACTAAAAATACAAAAATTAGCCAGGTCGTGGGCACCTGTAATCCCAGCTACTTGGGAGGCTAAGGCAGGAGAATCACTTGAACCTGGGAGACGGAGGTTGCAGTGAGCTGAAATCACGCCACTGCATTCCAGCCTGGGTGACAGAGCAAGACTCCAACTCGGGGGGAGAAAAAATATATATATATATTTATATATATATATATATATTTTAAAAATACATATAAATATAAATTTTATAAATATATATATATAAATATATATATATATTTTTTTTTCTTTTTTGTAAGATGGGGTTTCACCATGATGGCCAGGCTGGTCTTGAACTCCTGACCTCAGGTGATCCACCCACCTTGGCCTCCCAAAGTGCTAGGATTACAGGCGTGAGCCACCACGCCCGGCATATATATTTTTTTAATAGCACTCTTTATTTATTTATTTATTTATTAGAGATAGGGTCTTGCTATATTGCCCAGGTGGGATTCAAACTCCTGGGCTCAAACCATCTTTTACCTGTCTCCAGATAGGGGGACTAGAAGTGCATGCCACTGTGCCCTGTGATCACTCTGATTAACTCTGAGCCCTCCCTAGTTAGGAAGTGAGTGGGCTCTTTGCATAAGCTCTAAATTAGACCCTAGTGTCTCTCTCTCTCTCTCTCTCTCTCTCTTTTTTTTTTTTTTAGACAGAGTCTCACTCATTCTGTGTGCCCAGGCTGGAGTGCAGTGGCATGATCTCAGTTCACTGCAACCTCTGCCTCTGGAGTTCAAGCGATCCCCGACCTCAGCCTCCCCAGTAGCTGGGATTACAAGTGTGTGCCACCACGCCCAGCTAATTTTTGTGTTTTTAGTAGAGATGGGGTTTCACCATGTTGTCCAGGCTGGTGTCAAACTACTGACCTAAAGTGATCTGCCTGCCTCAGCCTCCTGAAGTGCTGGCATTATAGGCGTGAGCCACTGTGCCCAGCCCCTAGTCTCTTAAAAACTTTCCTTTTGGGAGCCTTGTGCAACTGTTACACCTCTTCTTTTAGTACTGACATACTGTGTGTGAAAAAGCTTGCTCTGTCTGTCTGCCTATTTGTCTGTCTCTCTCTTCCTAGCTTGTTCAGGATCTCTGTACACAAGAGACTGCAGATGTAGCCTTAAGCTCATCAATGGGGAAAATCTCCATTCATCTGATAAGAAGCAGCCTCCAATGAATCACGAGGTTCCCGCCCACCAGAGGTTCCTCCCCATGTACCAGCACCTTTGTCATGCTGGGAAAACCTCCCATCTAGGACTTTACCCTGAGTCCAGGGTCTGTGCCCTAGCCCACAGTCACTGAAAGCAACTGTAGGCCACATACAACAGACATCGTTTGTTTTCCAGGTACTAAGGGTCATAATCCCTAACTCCAATTACAGACAACTCCTGAGATCAAAGGAAAAACAGCATCCACGTGGGAGTTCAGGGAGAGACATTCCATACCAGATTCTGTGGCCTGCAGGTGACATGCTGCCTAGGAGAAGCAGGTAGGAAATCTGTTGGGGGCCAAGGACTAAAAGCAATAAAGTACAGATAATGCTGGGGGCTGGGCATGGTGGCTCACACGTGTAATCCCAGCACTTTGGGAGGCCAAAGTGGGAGGATTGCTTGAGCCCAGGAGTTCAAGACCAACCTGGATAACACAACAGATCCATCTCTACAAAAAGAAAGAAAAGAGGGCTGGTGCAGATGCTCATGCATGTAATCCCAGTACTTTGGGAGGCAGAGGCGGGAGAACACTTCAGGTCAGGAGTTCGAGACCAGCCTGGCCAACATGGTGAAACCCTGTCTCTACTGAAAATAAAACACTAGCTGGGCATGGTGGTGGATGCCTGTAATCCCAGCTACTCGGAGGCTAAGGCATGAGAATAGCTTGAACCTGAGAGGCAGAGGTTGCAGCAAGCCGAGACTGAGCCACTGCACTCCAGCCTGGGCAACAGAGCAAGACTCAGTCTCAGGGGAAAAAAAAAAAGGGAAGGGAAAGGAAGGGGAGGGGAGGAGAAGGGAGGAGAGGAGAGGGGAGGGGAGGGGAGAGGAGGGGAGGGAGGGGAAGGAGGGTGGGAAGAAGGGAGGAAAGAAGGGAGAAAAAGAAAAAATTATCCTGGTGTGGTTGTGTGTACCATAGTCCCAGCTACTCAGGAGGGTGAGGCGGAGGATGCCTTGAGCCCAGGAGTGTGAGGTTACATCGAACTGTGATGCACTCCAGCCTAGGCAACACTAGGCAACAGAGTAAGACTCTATCTAAAAAAAAAAACAACTGGGTAACATGGCAAAAACCCATGTTGGCAAAACCCCAACATGGCCAAAAAAAAAATTAGCTGGGCATGGTGGGGCCACTCAGGAGGCTGAAGTGGGAGAATTGCTTGAGCCCAGGAGACAGAGGTTGCAGTGAGTGGAGATCCAGCCTAGGTGACAGAGTGAGAACTAGTCTCAAAAAAGAAAAGCAAAGAAAAAAAACACACTGGGGATCAAGTCAAGGGCAGGTTTGGTTTGGTTTGGAAAGAAACTCTGTAGAAGGGACAGAAAAGGGTCAAGCGTGGCTCAGAACTGACTGCTGACCCCTCCCACATTCAGGAGTCTGTGACAGCCGCCCCAACACCTGGCGTCATGGCCACTAGGGAAGATGAGCTGAGGAACTGTGTGGTATGTGGGGACCAGGCCACAGGCTACCACTTTAATGCGCTGACTTGTGAGGGCTGCAAGGGTTTCTTCAGGTGAGAGCCTCCTCCCCAATGGACATAACCCTCCAAACCAAACTCCCTATCAGTTATCCTTTATACCTCCGCCCGTGCCCAACACTATCCAGCTACATTACTCCTTTATCTTAGAATCTAACTACCCTGTGGCTGGCACCGTACATCTTGCGAAACACAACACTGTATAAACTGGTGGCATAACAGAGGGAAGGCCGAATGTTTGTCTGATGGACATAGCCCATTAGTCAAGAGCACTTATTATGTACCCACTGCCTGTGAAGCAGCCAGCTAGTCCTACATCAACTAGGCCTTCCCAAGGGATCCTGTGTTGCCATGGAAATGCTTGAGATGTGTTGGACCCTATCCACCCCTGGGAGACGTTTGGGCACAGCTCAGATTAGTCAGTCCATTTCACCAGATTCCCAGGGTTTTTTAGACCATTTCATCTCATGTCCCCACCTAGCCACCTGCCTGTTCACTGCAATCCCAGACCCTAACAACGTCTCTGTGTCTCACAGGAGAACAGTCAGCAAAAGCATTGGTCCCACCTGCCCCTTTGCTGGAAGCTGTGAAGTCAGCAAGGCTCAGAGGCGCCACTGCCCAGCCTGCAGGTTGCAGAAGTGCTTAGATGCTGGCATGAGGAAAGACAGTGAGTTGGCCCCCTACATCCCAAGAATCCATTGACTGTGTCTCTCTGCTTTGTCCTTGTTCCCAACGGTGCGTTCTCTACATAGCAGGCACAGTAATCTTTTTTAAACTAGTTGGATTATGTCACTATTCACTCAAGACCTCCAATGGCTCCCCATCTCAAAGTACATGATCTCATGGTCTAGCTCTCCCACACCTCAGACTGTACTTCATACTCTTCTCCCATTACTCAATCAATTCTAGCCACTCTGACTTCACTGCCATCCTTAGAAACAACAAGCACACTCTTCCCCCAGGACTTTTCCACTTGCCATTCCCTCTACCTGAAACGCTCTTCTCCTAGATCTCCACATGGCTAGGTTTTTCTTTTTCCTTTTTCACTTTTTTTTGAGATGGAGTCTTACTCTGTCATCCAGGCTGGAATGCAGCGGCCCCATGTCGACTCACTGCAACCTCTGCCTCCTGAGTTCAAGTGATTCTCCGCCTCCGCCTCCAGCATAACTAGGATTACAGGCATGCACCACCAGGCCCGGCTAATTTTTTTGTATTTTTAGTAGAGATGACGTTTCACCATGTTGGCCACACTGGTCTCAAACTCCTGGCTTCAGGTGACTGCCCACCTCGGCCTCCCAATGTGCTGGGATTACAGGTGTGAGTTTTTCATTTTCTTTCTATCTCTTGAGTATAGTGCCTGTCACCTAGTAAGTGCTCAATTATCGAATTAGTTAATGCCTTCTCCGTGCCAAGTAACTGTTCTTTGCTCCCAACAGATGACGTAACTGGGGCTCACAGAAGTTAATTTGCCCAAGTTAGTTCAACTAAAAACTTGTGCAGTCTGAGAGCGGTGGCTCATGCCTCTAATCCCAGCATTTTGGAAGGCTGAGACAAGAGGATTGCTTGAGGCCAGGAATTCGAGACCAGCCTAGTCAATAGAGTGAGATCTCCTCTCTAGAAAAAGACAAAGGAAAAGAAGTTGAAGAGTCAGCATTCAAACTCAAGTCCACCTGACTCCCAAACTCTTGCTTTTTCCATCTCACATGATTCTCACTATGGAACAATGAAAAGAAACTGTAGAAGTCAAAGGATCTAGCGGCCAGGCGCGGTGGCTCACGCCTGTAATCCCAGCACTTTGGGAGGCCGAGGCGGGTAGATCACGAGGTCAAGAGATTGAGACCATCCTGGTCAACATGGTGAAACCCCGTCTCTACTAAAAATACAAAAAATTAGCTGGGCATGGTGGTGCATGCCTGTAATCCCAGCTACTCAGGAGGCTGAGGCAGGAGAATTGCCTGAACCCAGGAGGCGGAGGTTGCGGTGAGCCGAGATCTTGCCATTGCACTCCAGCCTGGGTAACAAGAGGGAAACTCTGTCTCAAAAAAAAAAAAAGAAGTCAAAGGATCTTGGTCTGAATTTAAGATCTTGGTTTAATATTGGATCTTTTGATGAAGTCAAAAGATTTGGGGCTGAATTAAATCTACATTACTTACTCTGTGACCTTGGTCTGATCATCGGAATCTAAGCCTGACTATATTTCTAAAAAATATGATTAGGCTGGGTGTGGTGGCTCACGTCTGTAATCCCAGCACTTTGGGAGGCCAGGGCAGGTGGATCACCTGAGGTCAGGAGTCCGAGACTAGCCTGGCCAACGTGATGAAATTGTGTGTCTACTAAAAATACCAAAAAAAAAAAAAATTAGCCTGGTGTGGTGGCAGACACCTATAATCCCAGTTACTCAGGAGGCTGAGGCAGGCTTTATTTAACTCAGGGGCAGGGAATGGTGGTGGAGGTTGCAGTGAGTTTAGATAAAGCCATTACACTCCACCCTGGGAGACAGAGTGAGTCTCTCTCTCAATATAGATAGATAGATAGATATATGATGAATACCAGCCCTGCCTAACCTGGGGTTGTTTCATTCAGCGGGATTTAACCTCAGAAGTTTTGAAAGTATGCTAAAACATTAAACAAGGGGCCAAACACAATGGCTCACGCCTGTAATCCCAACACTTTGGGAGGCCGAGGTGGGTGGATCACCAAAGGTCAGGAGTTTGAGACCAGCCTGACCAACATGGCAAAACCCCATCTCTAAAAATATAAAAATTAAACAAACAAACAAACAAACAAAAATGAAATAAGGGTTTCTTTGAAAGGATTATTTGATTATTTTTGAAGGATCATTTGCAAACATCACATAAGATGATGCTCTAGGTATCTACCCCTCCCTCATCATCGTTTCCCCAGAAGCCCTCGCACTTTTCCTTACTCCATTCCTGCTTTCCTCATCACCCTTCCCTTCTCCCCCATGGTGCAGTTTTCTGCTGCAGTTCTTCACAGGCGGGTGAAAGTGTGCAGGAACCCCTGCCTCCTGGAGCCTCTAGGACTTTAGCCAAACCCAAGGAAGTCTCAGGAATTCCCATTTCTCCCCATCCTTCATTGTGCAGGGTGGCTGAGGGGCCCCAGATCAGGGACGGCAGAGGGAGGTGCTCTGCTAGTCTCAACAGCTTTGTGATGATCTCTTGCCTGGCACAGTGATACTGTCGGCAGAAGCCCTGGCATTGCGGCGAGCAAAGCAGGCCCAGCGGCGGGCACAGCAAACACCTATGCAACTGAGTAAGGAGCAAGAAGAGCTGATCCGGACACTCTTGGGGGCCCACACGCGCCACATGGGCACCATGTTTGAACAGTTTGTGCAGTTTAGGGTGAGCACCTACAGGTTTGGGGTTGGAATACAACCAAAAGGGCACCCAATAAGGCTGGTCTGAGGGAGAGGGGTGTGTGCCATGCACCAACATAGAGGACAGATCTCCAGAACCCCAGCCTGAGCAGGCTTCTCAGCAAGGAACTCTTCCAAGATAAGGCTGGCGAGGCCTAAAGGAGGGCCCTAGGGCCAGGGCCTCTAGCTAATGTTCTGATCATTGCAGCCTCCAGCTCATCTGTTCATCCATCACCAGCCCTTGCCCACCCTGGCCCCTGTGCTGCCTCTGCTCGCACACTTCGCAGACATCAACACTTTCATGGTACAGCAAGTCATCAAGTTTACCAAGGACCTGCCCCTCTTCCGGTGAGTAACCTCCCCTCATCTTTCAGGAGGCAAGCATTTTAGTAAGTTGTACGCCCACCCCAAAAAGTCACTGACAACAAATTAACACATGCCTCAGCCTTTCCAAGCATTAGGTCTTGAATTCCCAGCTTTGTTTTTAAGTGAGCCAATCAGAACTGGGAGTTCTTCTCCCTCTCTGAAGTACAGGTTCGCATCTAAAGTGCTCTTGAGGTGCCTTGCAGTGGCTCACGCTAGTAATCCCAGCACTTTGGGAGGCAGAGGCCAGCAGATCACTTGAGTATAGGAGTTTGAGACCACCCTCGGCAACATGACAAAACCCCATCTCTACAAAAAAATACAAAAATTAGCTGGGCACAATGGTAGGCACCTGTGTCCTAGCTACTCAGGAGGCTGAAGTAGGAAGATCATTTAAGCCCAGGAGTTTGAGGCTGCAGTGAGCCAAGATGGTACCGTTGCACTCCAGCCTAGGTGACAAATGAGACCCTGTCTCAAAAAAATGAAAACTAAAAAAAAAATAATAGGCCAGGCACAGTGGCTTGTGTCTGTAATCCCAGCACTTTGAGAGGCCAAGGCGGGTGGATCACTTGAACTCAAGAATTTGAGACCAGCCTGGCCAACATGGTGAAACCCATCTCTACCAAAAATACAACACTTAGTCGGGTGTGGTGGTGGGTGCTTATAATCCCAGCTTCTCAGGAGGCTGAGGCAGAAGAATCACTTGAACCCAAGAGGCAGAGGTTTGCTGTAGCCAAGAGCAGGCTATTATACTCCAGCCTGGGTGACAGAGCGAGGCTCACACCTATAATCCCCACACTTTGGGAGGCCAAGGCAAGAGGATTGCTTGAGCCCAGGAATTCGAGACCAGCCTGGGCAACATAGCAAGACCCATCTTTACAAAAAATAAAAATAAACAAACAAAACTTTAAAAAGTGGGCCAGGCACAGTGGCTCACATCTGTAATTCCAGCACTTTGGGAGGCCACAGCAGGTGGATCACTTGAGGTCAGGAGTTTGAGACCAGCCTGGCCAACATGGCGAAATCCCATCTCTACCAAAAATACAAAAAATTAGCCAGGCATGGGGGCACACACCTGTAATCGCAGCTATTGGGAGGCTGAGGCAGGAGAATTGCTTGAACCTGGGAGGGGGAGGTTGCAGTGAGCAGAGATCACGCCATGGTCCGCCAGCCTGGGAAAGAAAGTGAGACTCTGTCCCCCCCCACAAAAAAGTTAAAAAGTGCCCTTGTTTCCTGCTTTCCACAGGTCCCTGCCCATTGAAGACCAGATCTCCCTTCTCAAGGGAGCAGCTGTGGAAATATGTCACATCGCACTCAATACCACTTTCTGTCTCCAAACACAAAACTTCCTCTGCGGGCCTCTTCGCTACACAATTGAAGATGGCGCCCATGGTGAGATGGTGCAAGAGCAGTAGGGGACATGTGTCCTCGTGGTACAGTATGCGGTCAGGTGACCTAGAGACTCCTAATCCTGGTGTCTCCCACAGTGGGGTTCCAGGTAGAGTTTTTGGAGTTGCTTTTTCACTTCCATGGGACACTACGAAAACTGCAGCTCCAGGAGCCCGAGTATGTGCTCTTGGCCGCGATGGCCCTCTTCTCTCCTGGTGAGCATCTCCCAAAGCCCAGAACATTTTGCTGCTCCACTTCTGCCCAAACACTCAGCTCCTTGAGTCCATCCACCCCAGGCCTTCTAGCCATCAAACCTGCAGACTAGGTCTATCGCAGCCTCGGTCCCCAGGGCACTATGCAGGCCCACCCCTGCCGCCCACTGTGTCCTTCCCAGTTCCCTATCTTACAGACCGACCTGGAGTTACTCAGAGAGATGAGATTGATCAGCTGCAAGAGGAGATGGCACTGACTCTGCAAAGCTACATCAAGGGCCAGCAGCGAAGGCCCCGGGATCGGTACAGTGGGACACTGAGGGCTTGAAGGCCACACGAGGGCAGGACGGGGCTGGCGAAACATTGAACTTGGGAGAAATGTCTTTCACTGTCTTTTCCTTAGGGAATTCAGGTCTCTTGGGGTCTAGTCTTTCCCCCTGGCCATCCCTGTCTCACATCATTTCAGCATCCAAATTGCTGAATTTGGATACTGCTGTTTCATCTCACTTTTTCCAGATTTTTTATTATTATTATTCAGTACAGATGCAAAGTAGTAGCTCAGAGGCTCTGGGTAATAGCATTCCTGAGATTGATGACATCCATCACCTCACCAGTCCAACTTCTCCAGACTAACGCACACTTTTAAGTCTTGTTCGCTCCCTTCCCTTGGCCTTTCCTCTCCTCGCCATTGGGCTGATTCCTTCGATTTTTCATTTCCCTTGAAGTTATGGTCATTCACAGTTTCATGGCCAAAGCCAGTTCCAAGTTCATAGTCTATGATTCATCCAGGCTCTGAGGTATAAACTGCTTGTTTTGCTCGTTCCTCCAAGAGCCAGTTTGGCCAGAAAGGGGACACTTTATGCCACAGAACATATCCACCTTCTAGAACCTGCTCTAGAGGGCCAGGCCCTCAGATTCCACACAGTTGGAGTTCTGGCCAAGTCTGGAGCTTTCTTCACACTCAGCCCTCAGAGCTCTGGGGTCAGAAAAACTGAGCTTGGTGAGAGAAGACAGTGTCAGACTGAGGCCCCCTGGAGAACCTTTGGAACTTCTGATAATCTGTCATACCAGAGCATGATTTTCTCTAATGTCAGACCTGGCTTCACTGAGGAACAGTTCAGGGGATCAGGGCCTCAAGACAAGACTCCCAGGTGCTTTATTTCCCTCCTGTTTTCCTGGCAACCCCACTACTTCCTCCATAGGTTTCTGTATGCAAAGTTGCTGGGCCTGTTGGTTGAGCTCCGGAGCATTAATGAGGCCTATGGGTACCAAATCCAGCATATCCAGGGACTGTCTGCCATGATGCCGCTGCTCCAGGAGATCTGCAGCTGAGGCCAGGCTCACTGCCTTCCCCAGCTCCTGGGACACCCAGGACACTCTGGAGAAGGGAGATGCTGGGACAAAAGATTGGACCATGTTCAAAGAGAACCCAGTGGTTGCAATGAAAGACTAAAGCAATAACTGCCTCTTCATGCGGTCATGGGGATACTGGGGGTGACCATGGGAACGCAGTTGTTCTCTGGAAGCACAGAAGATGGGAAGGAGGAGGCCTCGGGGCTAAGAGGTAAAGAAGCTCCTTCTGGGAATGGATGGGCCCCACTTTCTGAGACCAAAGATCTAGCCCTTCAGCCCTACTTCCCCAGTCTTGGGAGGCTCTGGGATGGAAAACAGGATGGTCAGCTAATCCCATGCAGGATTAACCACAGGGAAAGGAATAAGGAAGTCTGGGGGCAGGGGACACCAGAGGGAATTCAGCCAGACATACCCCTTAATCCTTCCCCCTTAGTCCAGAGCCACAAGAGCATGGGGAAGGTGATACTGGGGCTGGTAGCAGCGGGGGGATCCCCAAACTTCCACCTCATCAGCTGCCCCTGTGGCAGCTCCAGTTCTGAGGAGGGCATGGTCCTGTCCCCCACTGTGCTCCTGGGTCCTAGAGGTCACCCAGCAAGGCGGGCTCTGGAGAGGGGCCTAGTCTCTGGCCCTAGGGCACCTGACTCAGAGGTTCCAGCAGCTGTGGGGGCTGACTCCGGGACAACCTCAGCCCACAGTGATGCTGAAGCCACAATGGAATCTGTTGCGCCAGTGATTGAGAAAGGCTCCAAGGGCTAGGGTGACAGGCAGAGGGGGCATCTTCTTCTCCAGCACAGCACCTACACACCAGTTACTATCCACCAAGCCTGTTGGGGTAGAGAATACCAACTAGGTTATTTAACAGGGATTGGAAGAAATAGTCACCAGAAGTAAGGTCAAGCTTCCCTCCCTCTGCATCCTCCATCCCTCAGCATAGCCAGATGTCTCCAAATAACCCTCACCTCTAAACACCATGTTGGCCTGGGGTAGAGTCAGGTGGTAACCAAAGGAGAAGGTTGTGTCTTGTAGCCTTGTGTTTGCCTCAAACTCCACTCCAACCTGAACCTGAGAACCATGGGCAAGGATGAGAGATCAGTATCAGTGATGAGCAGAAGGGTCCTGATGGGGATCAGCAGAATGAAGGCATGCATGGAAATATATACACAGCATGGTAGGAAGAAGACCAGGTCAGCAGGGCGGTAGAGGTCCAGATGGACAGAAATTCATGACTAACTTGCTGAGGAGGAGGGGAAGGAGGCCAGAGGTCTCACCTGTTCATTTGCCTTGTGGTAGTAACTTGCATGGGCCCCGCCTGATCCCACATTCAATGTAGCTACCCAGTGTACAGCTGTAAAATTCAAGGGGCAGAGGGGAAGGTGTGTTACTATAGTATGACACAGGCCAGGAACCCCAGAAAAGTCCAGAATTGCCTCTCCTGGCCATTACTAGACTTAACCCCATACCCGAGTACTTCCCAGCCAGTGTCAAGATGGCCCCCTCTTCGCCTGGCCGCCGGTGATAAACAAGCTCTCCGCCCAGCACCAGCCGATGAGTGAGGCTCTGCAGGAAGTGAGCCACCATGATCACTGTGGGGGAATGGGGAGACACGGAGTCAGCCATAGAGACAACATCCAGGTCTGCTCCCTCACCCCCATAAGCCCCACCCGAGTCTGCACAAGAAGTTCCTTTTCTAAACTCTGAACCATACAGAAGATGAACAGACATAGTCAACATTAGCAAAATGGACAGCCAAGATGAAAAGAACCCTGTCCCATTCCTCACCTGACTCTCCAATCAGGTCAGGATTTCCCAGGGTCAGAGTGGCTGTGTAGTCATCTCCCCGATACTCGCCATCAAACTGCCATGTCAAGAACTTGGCCTGCTGCGTCTGGGTGGCAAGAGCAAGAAGTAAAATCTCCCTCCCTCTTTTTGGTTTTTTCCTGACATGGAGACGGAATTTCACTCTCGTTCCCCAGCCTGGAGTGCAGTGGTATGATATCAGCTTACTGCAACCTCCGCCTCCCGGGTTCAGGAGATTCTCCTGCCTCAGCCTCCCGAGTAGCTAAGATTACAGGCTTGCCCCACCACACCCGGCTAATTTTTGCATTTTTAGTAGAGAAGGGGTTTCACCATGTTGGTCAGGCTGGTCTTGAACTCCTGACCTCAGGTGATCCACCCACGTTGGCCTCCGAAAGTGCTGGGATTATAGGCGTGAGCAGCGGCGCCGGCCTCTCTCCCTCTTTATGATCTTTATTGACCCTGCTCCTCCTTCCAAGCCCTCAGAGCAGGAAACCCGTGGAGGAGAAAGAGGAAGTGTCTCAGGGGATGGAGGCAGGAACTGGTCACCTGGAAGACAGCCTTAGCTCGGAGCCGCTCTGCCAAGAGGAGCAAGACCTGGGCGTTCAGGCTACCACTGCTGTCCATGTCCCCTACTACAGTGGGGAACACCTGTGGAAGTGGGTACACAGTAGTAAGGCTGAGCCGGGTGGCACCACTCAGCCTCAACCCAAATATAGGACTTCATTAACAGTACACAGAGCCCCCTGGTGGAGTCACAGAGACACACTCTGGGCTCTTCACAGAAAATGTTTCTCTACTACCCTCTCCCATTCAGAAGAGATATCCCATTCCTCCTCATAACACCCACAATTCCTCCTCCTCCAGAACTGGGTCCCAAATTGGCTTTTAGGGAGATGACCCAGGTGTGTGGAGCCCTCACCTCCGTAGGACTGAGCTGCCAATCCCCTGCATAGGCCGCATGGAGGTGATATCCCGGCAAGCCCAGGGCACTCATGTGTATAGTGTGAGCCACCTGAGGAAAGAGGAGTCAGTGGAGAAGAGTGGCACATTCCTGCCCACTTCAATCCCTCATCCCACCCTTCATCTCTTCTCCCCATCCAGAGGGCCTCTCAAGAATCCCAAATACTCCAACATACACAGGATCATTGGATTAAAAGCAACAAGTCCCACAGGCAAGGGAGGTAAAGAGAACCCCACATCCTCCCTCATTTGTCCCACATAGCCTGGCTAGGGCTGGAGTACAAAGGAAAGGAGAAGAGGATCCAGGGACAGGAAAGGAGGAATAGTAAGGAGGGGCCAGAGAAGTGGGAGCACCTGGAAATGGCTGCTCAGAACCTTGTTGACAACGAGCTTCACGCCCTCCATCTGTGCTGGGAATACATCTGAAGTGGGTAGGGGAAGGGAAGGAATAAGCACAAACAAGGAACCCCTACCCCAAAAGGTAGTCTCCCCTTTCAATCCCATAGGGAGGACTTTGGAGGAATTAACCTCCTTTCAAGTCCTGCAATGAAATGCTCCACTTCATTTGGGCACTGGCTCCTCTCTGACTCTGCATGCTCCAGCTGTGATCTCCCCTTTCCTGCTCCCATCGCCGGACATCCAGCATTCAGGACCCTCCACTTCTCTGCCCCTTCATCTTGAGATACCCAAATGCCAAGTTCTCACCTTTGCATAGCCGGTGCAGCTCATCGAAGCTCCCAGGGTTGGGCAGAGGTTCCTCTCGGCGGGGGCTCCGGCGGGGCAAAGTCCCCATTGGTGCCAGGCCCAATGTGTTCCCCATTTTAGTCCAGAGGGCGGGGAAGGGCCGGGGTTAGCCTGTGAAAGGACGCTATTGCCCCTTTACCCCCCAACAGGCCCCACCCCCATTATCCGGCTCCCCAGTCCCAGAAACTTCCACATGGTCCGACGCTAGACCTGGAACAGGAAGAGTAGGGGAAGAGGGCACTCATGGGGAGACAACCCCAAGCACACTCCCGCCCCATCTTTGATCTCTCACCCCCACCTGTCACCCCTGTCCCCTCTCCCTTTCTTTAATCCTAGCCCCCACCACAGACCTCATCTTGCTCCCTAGTCTCTCTACTCTTCATTCCCAGGCCCCAAGACCAGGCCCGCAATGGTGCAGTATCCCTTACCATCTCAGACCATCATGCTGCCCCTTTCCCCCGGCACACCCCGGTCATCTTGATGGGGGCAGCCATCTTGAGTGATGGCAGAACTGCAGCTTCACGCTGCATTCTTAGCGTGGCCATAAGCGCCATCTTTGAATCTGGCGAAGAAGGCTGTCAAAGACCCACCCCACCCCGATTGGGTCCCGCCCAATCAGTGGGGAAAAAAAAGAAGCCTCTCTATCTACCCGGGGCCAACGCGAAGGGAGGAAGCAAATGAGTGGCAGGTCTGCCGGCCCAAGAGCTTCAACTCTGGCGCTGCAGAGGCGGGCGGGACTTGACTGGTGGCCCCTTAGACTTAAGTGGATGGCCTTAGATCACTAGGCCTCTCCAAGGTCGGGAAAAAACTTATGAGCATGCAAGACACTAGAGGGAGCATCTTCTAGCTTGGGCCATTGAAGCTCCTTCCACCCATGTAGTATCACTCATGAGAAAAGTGAAACTGCAGCTTGTAGACTGGCATTGTGTGAAGGGTGACAGAGAGAACGTTTATGAAGGCTTCTTTAGAACCCTGGTTTATTTCTATCTCTCCCCTCTCCCCAAAAAGCCCTTGGGGAATCCTCACAGCCCCCCACAGCTCACCTCCGATGAGTACTACTCATTAAGCTGAGCACTCCCTAGGATAGGGACCCACCCTTCTCTTCTGGAGGTCTACATCTCTCGAAGTCCCCACTCTTGCCCACTAGGTACAATGGAAACTGGTGTGAGTTTGGCTCAGAGGAGTGAATTCTAGCGGAAGTACTCGCTGAAACAGCTGTTCTCTGTATTTAACCCTTCCTTCCCTGAGTCCCCAGGCACAGTTGGCAAATAAAATCTAGGAATATGGGGCTTGGTCCCCAAATGCACCCCATCCCAGCACCATGGGGAAGGCAATGGGCTGTCCTCAAGCACTACACGCTCCACAGGGGAATAACTGAAGATAGAGTAAGATTTTTTGGTCTTGGAGGGCGAAGGGTGGGAGGAGTATTAGTTATACTCAAAATAACTAATGAGTATTAGGCTTAATACCTGGGTGATGAAATAGTCTGTACAACAAACCCCCATAACACAAGTTTACTTATGTAACAAACCCGCACATATGCTTCTGAACCTAAAACAAAAGTTAAAAAACAAAGATTTCTTGGTCCCTGGTCACTACCTCCCTCATTAGCTCCACACCTCCACCCTTACTTCTCAGGAAGGTTCCACATACTCAGGGAGTAAGCTTGGGGGACAAAAGGTGAAAGATACAAATAAAAATACTTCTGATATCTATTTAACTGATTTTACCCAAATGCTTTAAACCTGGGAATGTACCTCTCTCCCTCCTCCGCCCCCAACAGGAGTGAGACGAGGGCCGGGGCTGTTGCCCCTGCTGACTCAATATTGGCTGATTATTGCCTAGAACTGATAAGGTAATCAAATGACCTGGCACCTTCAACCTTTATCCTGGCAACAGCCTCGTATTCACCTCTTTTCCTGCCAGAGCCCTCCACTGGGAGAGGATGGGCAGAAGCTGTTTTCTGAATTTGTTTTACTGGGGGTAGGGTAGGCTCCCTGATCAGCATCCAAGTCAGGCTGGGCTCTCTTGTTTTCTCCCCCTGTCTCATTACACATTAACTCAAAAAGGAACAAAGTCATTTACACTTGCCCTCTAACCCTGACCTTCATTCCCCTAACCCCCACAGCCCTCAGCCCTGTCTCTGATTTCAATTTCTTTCTCCTTTCTTCTGCTCCCCAGTATCGCTCTGCCAAGTCGCAGTAAAGCAGGATAAAGTTGGGAGATGAGATCTACCCATAATGAAATAAAGATACCACGAGCTGAGGGGTTGATAAGTCAGAGGTTTCCAGAGAAATAACTTCAAACCCTGCTTCCTGCTGCATTCAAATCCAAGTACCTCAGATCTCAAAAGAATGAACCTCAAATATATTGAAGTGTACCCCCTTAGTCTTCACTAAGGGCTGTACCCCCTGCCTGTCACCCCATCACCATGAGTCAGTCTCCCATGTGCTTGTCTTCTCCTCCCCCATTTGTCCAACTTGTTTATCCCAAAATGGTCCCTGCCCCACTAGGCCCATCAATAGTTCCTGTCACCTGACAGGGGGTGGATAAACAGACTGGTAGTATATAGCCCCTACCTCTCCAGCCAGGGCTGGCACAGGCGCCAAAGACAGAGACGCTGACTGGGTAAGATGGGGAGGCAAGAGGTGTCGGCAGCATCCAAAGAGGCCTGGGTTTCGGTTGTGGAGAGGGAGAGAGCCAGGTTGGAATCCCTGGGGAGGAGCTGAAGCCCATTTGGCTTCAGTGTCACCCCAACCCCCACCACCCTGTTCCTAGGCTGCCTTCGCCCCTGTTACCAACATGAAGCTGCTCACAGCAACTGTGCTGCTCCTCACCATCTGCAGCCTTGAAGGTGGGTATGACACGGAGGGTGGGCAGAAGGAAGAAGGTGCTGGCGGTTATAGCTACCTCTCTGCCTGTGCTCTTATGTCCGGGTCTGGCAACTAGAGGGCTCAAAAGAAAGATCATTCCCTCTCTAAAGCCCAGAAAGCCATCCAAAGATCTGTCTGGATACCATTTTGGGGAGGGGGCGGAGAGCTGGGGTGGGTACTGGCAGAGGTATGGCAGGTGGCCAGGACTCACTGCTGTGGACCCAGCTGCAAAGAATGTATGTGTGTGTGTGTGTGTGTGTGTGTGTGTGTACAGGAGCTTTGGTTCGAAGACAGGCAGAGGAGTCGAGTGTGGAAAGCCTGGTGTCTCAGTACTTCCAGACCGTGTCAGACTATGGCAAGGACCTGATGGAGAAGGTCAAGAGCTCAGAGCTTCAGGCCCAGGCCAAGTAAGTCTCAGGGAAAAGAGTTCAAGGGCTGCGGAGCTATGGAGAGAAAGAAGGGAAGATGAGAGGTCCCTCAGAAGACTGAACTAAGGGGTGGGGATTAGGGCAGATTAGGCTTAAATTTGAGAGAAAAATTCCTTCATCACCCACAGACCCCACATGTCTCTTAGATAGAGAGGAACAGCAAGAACTGGGCCTTGAATTTCAGTCTCTAAAGTCTGTTCCTCTACCCAGCAAAGGTCTTGCCTCTACTCCTACCTAGGGGCTTTGCCATGCGATGGACCAGGCACTAGAGTTTGGGGACCTGAGTCAGCCTGCTCTGGCCTCCCACCACCACCAAGGTCCCTGCCAGTGCCTAGGGTCCCTCAAATTAAACTCTAATTCCCCCACCTATCCAGGGCTTACTTTGAAAAGTCAAAGGAGCAGCTGACACCCCTGGTAAAGAAAGCTGGAACGGATCTGGTTAACTTCTTGAACTATTTCATGGAACTCAGAACTCCGCCTGCCGCCAAGTGAAGTGTCCAGACCATTGTCTTCCAACCCCACCTGGCCTCTAGAACACTCACTGGCCAGGCCTAGAGCTCATCTCCCTACCCACACTTTGCTACAATAAATGCTGAAGGAATCTAGCTGTGAGTCTGGTATGTTTGGGGGACTGGAAAAAGTAGGGGAGTAGGGGAGGAGAAGAGGACGGAAAAGGAAAAATCTGCTTCTAGAAGGAGAGAAGTTTGGGTGTGGAGGGGTGAAGAAAGTATTGAAGACACAACTGATGGAAATGACAGGGTGAGGGTGCCATGATTATTCTCCAAACCCAAAGAGTCTCCTACAGGCTGGGCACAACTCTGCAGGAGAACACTAAAGAGCCTTTGCGATGCACACGGAACTAGGAGAGGAAGGAAGGATTCACAAACTGAATGTCTTGATTTCTGGGTCATAGAAAATGAGGCTACCCTGGCCAGATGCAGTGGCTCACACCAGTAATCCCAACATTTTGGGAGGCTGAGGCAGATGGATCACTTGAGGTCAGGAGTTCCAGACCAGCCTGGCCAACATGGTAAAACCCTGTCTCTACTAAAAATACAAAAATTAGCTAGATGTGGTAGTGGGCACCTGTAATCCCAACTACTCAGGAGGCTAAGGCAGGAGAATTGCTTGAACCTGGGAGGCGAAGGTTGCAGGGAGCTGAGATCACATCCCTGCACTCCAGCCTGGGTGATACAGTGAGACTCCATCTTAAAAAAATAAAGAAAGAAAGAAACAAAGAAAAGAAAATGAGGATGCCTCTCATAATTTCCTTGAAGAAAAGAAATCTTCCCAAAAATTACTACAGAGGAGTCACCCCAGACCTTCCTTTCCCTTCTGAGCCAAGAGAACACCGTATGTCCCCGTTTCCCACAATAAAAGACTTGGGTTTGCTCCTTTCCCCAGGAGTGCTCTAATTTCTCCATTTAAAACCTCTTATCACTGGACATGGTGGCTCACACCTGTAATCCCAACACTTTGGGAGGCTGAGGCAAGTGGATCACCTGAGGTCAGGAGTTCAAGACCAGCCTGGCCAACATAGTGAAACCCCATCTCTACTAAAAATACAAAAAATTAGCTGAGTGTGGTGGCGGGCACCTGTAATGCCAGCTACTAGGGAGGCTGAGGCAGAATTGCTTGAACCGGGGAAGCAAAGGATGCAGTGAGCAGAGATTGCACCATTGCACTCCAGTCTGGGCAACAATAGTGAAACTCCATCTCAAAACAAACAAACAAAAAACATAAAACGAACAACAACAACAAAAAAAACCTCTTATCTAGGCCAGGTACTGAGCTAAGCCAAGTACCAAGGCTCAAACCTGTAATCTCAGCACTTTGGGAGGCCAAGGTGGGCAGATCATGCAGTCAGGAGTTTGAGACCAGCCTGGCCAACATAGTGAAACCCTTTCTCTACTAAAAATACCAAAAAAATTAGCTGGACATGACGGCATACGCCTGTAATCCCAAGTGCTTGGGAGGCTGAGTCAGGAGAATCACCTAATCCAGGAGGCAGAGATTTCAGTGAGCCAAGATCATGCCACTGTACTCTGTACTCCAGCCTGGTGACAGTGAGACTCCATCTCAAAAAAAAGAGTTACTTCCCTACCCTGGCTCGTTTCTCATATCTCATCTGAAGTCACCTTTCCCCCCAGACACTGGAGATGGCTCCAATTCCTTCCAGACACTGATCAACCTCCTTCACCTGGCCTTTAAGACCCTCACCATTCATGATTACTCACTACCCCTTCTCTTTCCCAATATCCACTTTTTCTCATGAGGCAAAATGTGCAGGGACAAAGGAGATCTCAGTGGGTTCCTTGCAAGGTGACTTTGGACAGGTTAATTCACTTCAAAGAGCCTGAATATGCTCACAGGGTTAATTAGCAGATCAAATGGTACAATGAGCTGGAAAATACTTTGAAAAGTGTAAGTCACTATGCAGTGTGAAGTGATGTGCAGCACTGTGGGGGTTGGGGGTGTGGCAGGGATAAGCTTGGAGTCTCTAGACCCATTCTGAAAAGACTATGGGTCACAAGCAGGACTGGCAGCATCTTCTGAGGTTTAAATTCTTCCAGGCAACTATTCCTGGTAGCTCTAGAAACAGGACAGGCACTGACAGGGCCTTGACTACCACCCATGCACTTGAGGGAGATGACCCCCCCATCTAGACCCAACTTATTTTTCTTTGCCTGACCTACCACTAACCTATCCAGCTCTCTAAGGTCCCTCTTGCCCCAGATGCCCTGAAAATTCACTATTTCTATAAACCCTTCTATTAGGAGCGTCACACAGCCCTAGGCACACCATCCGTTCTGCATACGTGGCTTTTCAGCTATGCTCATTCCCAAATGCGTGTACTGGATTGGTACTGTCTGGATTGGTGACTATCTTGGGAAAGCCAGGCTCGCCTACAGCCCAACCTTGGTTCAGTTGTCAAACACAGAAGGCTATATGGTGCTTCAGAAGTCGTTTCTTATGTTTCCAAATATGCCTAGACTCCCAACACACTACGCCCTGTCCAGCTCTGTCTTCAGAGAACCTACAGGTCAAAGGTTTTATCCCTCCCCCAGCCCAGTCAGCGTTCATCCCTCAGTTGAGTAAAACAGCCCTGAAGTCCATTAGACTGTGAGTTCTGGAACTGAAAAACTGTATCTAGTGCTTAGTAGAGACTGAATAAATATACGATAAATGAATGAATGGAGTCCAGTCTGTGGCAGCTTTATTGGCGAGTCTCCCTCCCTGTATTTTAGCTGGAGTTGGGGATGGGGAAGAGAAGAAGGGTGGGACAAGAGAGAGAGACTAGAATATAAACATCTGTGAATAGCATCTGAGCATGTCTTTAACCGGGAGAGGGATTGCTGGGTGTGGTGGCTCGTGCCTGTAATCCCAACACTTCGGGAGGCCGAGGCGGGCAGATCACTTGAGGTCAGGAGTTCAAGACCAGCCTGACCAACATGGAGAAACCCTGTCTCTACTAAATACACACACACACAAATTAGCCGGGCATGGTGGCGCATGCCTGTAATCCCAGCTACTTGGGAGGCGAGGCAGGAGAATGGCTCGATCCCAGGAGGCAGAGGTTTGTGGTGAGCCGAGATGGAGCCATTCCACTCCAGCCCCGGCAACAAGAGCGAAACTCCATCTCAAAACAAACAAACAAACAAAACAGGGAGGAGGAACCACCGTTGTATATCAATTTGGGGGGCACAGGATTATAATAGGGGTAGGGGTAGGGCCAGCTGGCGTTAATGGCATGCGGGCATATGTGACGCCAACCATGAGGACTGGAAGAACAAGAAGCCGAAGAATACAACCGCATGTGTTCTAAAGCTACTGTGGTGGTTTCTCATGCTTCAGAGTCTCATAAGTCTCCTGGTTTCTGGTGCTCAGGCCCTGGAGGTGGGAGTCAAAAGATGATCAGGCCGCTGGAGCCCACCAGAGGCCCCGCCCACCTCCACCGGCCCCGCCCCTTCCAAAGGTTGCTCAAAATCCCACCCTCTTGTGCTGACTTCTCGGGATGGGGAGGCACAGACACTTACCGTGTAAACACCATCTGATTTCTGCAGAGACAGAAGCAAAGCATTAGAGACCCACACATCCAGGGCCCCTCAGCATCTTCCTCACCCAGGGAAGCATGGTGGAGGGGTGGGCAGCCAGCCGACTTGGGCTAGAGGGCACTCACATGATGCTCTGGTCCACAGATACCCATTTGTCCCCATGGCTATAAGCACACACATACACCCGACATACCACACCCAAGTCTCTCACATATCCCTTGTCACTCTATGCTGGATTCTTCCCTGTCATCCGCCAAACATTTCACTCATGGCTTGGCTAGGTAAGGTGGGAGGGAGGCCTCTGAGGTTTATGCAGATCAGCACCTGGGAGGCATGCTCCCCTAGAGGCGGGAACCCCAGGCTAGAGCCCCAGAAGGGCTGAGGGTCTGAAAAGTTGTTGACACCAGTGTGGGAGGGTCCATACCTCATAGCTGGCTATAGCTGCCTTTCGCACTTGGATCTGGAATGGGGGAAAAGTTATCAGTAAAGGGGAAGTTAGTGGCCCATCCCCTTCCCTCCAAACTTTGTGGGGGCTCCCCTTTTATTCCCTCTCTTTGAATCCTTGCTGCCCCCTCCCACTTTCCCACTTCCTCTTCCAGTGCTTAGCGCACCCCCCCTTACCCCACCTCCCTCCACCCCCCGCACTACCTTCAGTCGACAGTAGAGGAGGGTGAGGACAATTCCATACAGAAACAGGATGGCATCCAAGATGTAGCAGAGCTGAGGCTCTCCCAGGGCCGCTAAGGGGATAAAGGGTGCCCATGAGATCAGGGGCATCAGGGAGGATCTGGTGCTCAGAGGGGAGAAGGGAAGGGGTTCTGGGAGGTAGGATAGGGCCTGGAGGGGAGCCCTCTAAGGGAAGACATTTTGTTTCTCTCTGGACTCCCCCTGCTCTTACCTTTCCCTCTTCTCCCCTATTGTAGGGTAGTGCTAGGATAGGAAGCGTGAGGGTTCTATTTGAGATGGGACTTACATCTACTAATAATTGAGAACCTCCCCCTCAGCCCCCAACCTTTCAGCCTTTACTTTTTAGCACTGTGGGTTCTTCAGGCACCATTGAGCACTTTATCCACCTCAAGGGACCCATCTGAGTCCACTGGACTGAAACCAAAACCTCATCTGAGAGGGGTAGTGGGAGGGAGAGGCAGTGGCAAATTTCAGTGAAGAAACCACAGAAGTGTCTCTACTAAGTCCTGTGACCTGTGGCTGAGGGCTGGACAGGAAGGATGTGAGCTGGGGAAGGGAGAGAAGGCAATTACTCTATTACTAGTCATCTCTTAGCCTCAGCCTTATTGCTTTGTGTCCCACCACAAGACACTTACATATGTTTTAAAAAAAAAAAACCGTGTCTGTTTTTCCCAGGCCTTATAGATACTTTTGGCCCTGCACACAAGGCTCGGGGAATGATCACAAGCTATATGGATTCCAGCTCCTGCCACTCTGCCCCATTACTCACTCTCTGGGCCTCTGAGAGGGGAAGTTTTGTGCAATTTAAAAAATCAAATCAAGTCTGGACTCCAGAGACTGCTCTCACCCCCTATCAGAGGACCAGTAGGGTACATGTGACCAATGTCAGTCAAATGCTGACATCGCCAAGTACTCTTACTTCTGCAACACTCTTTCACACACATGAGATTGCACAAATCTTAAAACTACCCTGTGAGGGGAACATCATCATCGCCATTTTATATGACGAAACCAAGGTTCGGAAAAGCTAAGTAACTCACTCAGAGCCAGAGTTAAGTGACAGAGCTGGAACGCAAACGCAGGTTTTCTGCCTCCAAAGCCCATGCTTGCCTCTGTGCCTCAGCAACCCTCCTTCTTCTTCATCCCAAGGCAGCAGACCAGGGGCTAACTTTCTCAGCTAGGCTGCTGGAATTCCTCCCCAGTCATTCTCTTTCAATGTCCCCAGTTTCCCTGAAGTTTACTGACCTCCTCCTCCCCGACACACGGCTGCCACCAACACACACACACACACCAATCCAGCACAGACAACCCAGAGTGAACAAGAAGTGAGAATTCTTAATAGAGTGACTGGAGCCTTTGAGCTGCAGAGACTTTCCTATTTCTGCCTCTGTTTCTCAGCTGACGCTCAGGTCTCTGGAACTGGGCATCTCATGCTGCCCACCCTCATATCAACTGCTGACAGAATGATGCATTAGCAATGATCCGCAGAAACAGCAATCACGTATGTTTGTCTCAGCTATACCCTTGCCTCACTCCCAAGAACAAGGACAGATCCCTACCTTCCTAAAGGGTTCTGTATATACCTGTATCTGTATATAGATATATATATACATATATTTCTTGAGACTGGGTCTTGTTCAGTCACTCAGGCTGGAGTGCAATGGCATGATCTTGGCTCACTGCAACCTCCATTTCCTGGGTTCAAATGATTCTTCTACCTCTGCCTCCTGAATAGCTGGGATTACAGGCACCCAGGGTGCTTTGTATATTAAACCAGCTAGAGATCAGCTCCCAGCAGACAAGACCAAAGGCACCCCATGGGAAATGCTGATCACAGGAAATGAAGCTTTTCACCAGACCAGTTCTTCATGCCATACAACCAGACCCTTCCCCTGCCACTTTCTATAAACCATGAAAAGAGAAAAGTCAGCCAGGAACAGTAGCACTTTCGGAGGCCAAGGTGGGATTGCTTGAAGCCAGGAGTTCAAGACCAATGTGGCCAATGTAGCAAGACCTTTTTTGTTTTTTGAGATGGAGTTTCGCTCTTGTTATTCTCCTGCTTCAGCCTCCCGTGTAGCTGGAATTACAGGCACGTGCCACCGTGCCCAGCTAATTTTTTGTATTTTTAGTAGAGATGGGGTTTCACCATGTTGACCAGGATGGTCTCGATCTCTTGACCTTGTGATCCACCTGCCTCAGCCTCCCAAAGTGCTGGGATTACAGGCTTGAGCCATCGCGCCTGGCAAGACTTTTTTTTAATAATACTAGCTGGGCACGGTGGCTCACAACTGTAATCCCAGCACTTTGGGAGGTCGAGGGGGGTGGATCATTTGAATCGGGAGTCCGAAACCAGCCTGGTCAACATGGTGAAAAGCCATTTCTACTAAAAATACCAGACTTAGCTGGGCATGGTGGCTGTCACCTGTAGTCCCAGCTACTCTGGAGGCGGAGGCAGGAGAATCGCTTGAACCCAGGAGGTGGAGGTTGCAGTGAGCCGAGATCGCTCCAGTGCACTCCAGCCTGGGAGACAGAGCACTCTGTTTCCAAAATAATAATATGAATACAAGAACAAAGAAGTCTGGGACGAGGTAAGACGGCAACAAGAAAGAAGGGAACTATGAGTCTGGGAAAGATAGAACCAGCCTCAGGGTCTCCCTATGCCCACCTGCCCACTATCAGACTTCCTTCATGCGTGTTTGAGTCAGCCCTCAGACCCATGCTCTGGATTTCCACCCTGGAGCCAGCTTGCAGTAACCGGCACCAAACCCTCCTACCTGCTTGTTCAACCAAAAGGAGTAAGAGCAAGACCACTGCTGGAATCATCTTGGGCTGGGGATCGGCCGCTCTGACAGCACTGTGCAGCTGTGCTCAGTGAGCAGTTCCCTGACCACAGAGTACCCTCCTTCCTGCCACGCCTTCCCCACACTTCGGCCCCTTCCCCTTCCTGCACAAGAGACCGGGCGGCTCCCGGAAGGGCCAACTAAGGGAGCTGGGAGATCTGGGCTCTTAAGCCTCAGCCCTTTAATGACCAACTCCTAACCCATAGAACGAGGAGACTCTCACGCTCGGGAAAGGCTGTCTGTATCTGCCATTTTCCACTCCACCTGGTTCAGAAATTTATCTGTGCTAAACGACCCGTTGACATTCCCTCAGACCCCATTATAGCCCTTTCCCTCCCTACAGGAACCTTACCCCAAGTCTTGATTTGAGTGGCTCACCAATTTATGTAGGCACTGAGAAGGTTTGAGCAGGAGGGGAACTGAGGGGAAAGAGGAAATGGGGAATGGAGAAGTGGAAAGGACAAGAGTCAGAGAAGGGGGTGGAGACGAGCAGGAAAAATTGCAAAGACTGACTGACTCTAACAGGAATGGAGGGCTAATGAGGACTCATAGGTTTACAGTCAAGGTGAAGGACACTAAGATACTGAGAAAGACATACAGTTTAGGCCTAGGGGCCGCAAGGCGGCTAATTTATTATAATTTCTTTTTTTAGTACATGCACAGAAAGCCTGACAGGCAAGTTGTACATGAATGTGTACACACACACACACACACACACACACACACACCACGCACACACAGGCCCATTTCCAGTGAGGGACAGGCTCCACAGAAGCAGCTAACAGGCAGGGAGAATCAAACGCTGCTCCCCCGCTCACCGGTCTATTTCTCCAAACACAATATCTTGGGTACCTAGGAGTGAGAGGATGGAGGAAAACAGTGATGTGACTTATCTTCCTGTTGTGAGACAAGACAAACAAAACGGTTTTACCAAAGATCCAGAACCCATTACTGTGCTCAAGAGACTGTGGACTTGAGTCTACGCCCGTGCCCCACGGTGCGCACAAATGTTCTGCTTCTGTCCCCAGTGGGCGTCCCCAACTCCTTTGTCTAGGATACCTCTACTACACGATAGGCCTCATACCTATGATGGCAACGACATCTGCCAACATGTGCCCCTTAGACATCCTGTCCAAACCAGCCTGGGGAGATTGAGATGGCAACAGTTAGATAAGATTTGCAAGGTGGGAGGAGAAAGAAGAGAAGTTTATAAAAAACTCAACCAAGTTCAGTAAATTACTGGGTTAATTCATTGGAGTTAAAGTTGCTGGGATTGATTCTTACCAGATGGGCAAAACCAGGAGCCTTGATCTTGCATCGATAAGGGCGGCTGCTGCCATCGGATACCAAGTACACTCCAAACTCTCCCTGTTCAAGGAAGAAGGTTGGGTGTCTCTATTAATAGGAAGAGTACGTTTCTCGGCCAAGAAAACCTCTATTCATCCTGCTGTTTTCTCTCTCACCGATGAATGAGCATTTTGTTAAACATCTATCTTTAGCTACCTGCTCCAATATGGTCTTTTCCTTCCCCTTCTCTCCTCACCTTGGGAGCCTCAATGGCAGTATATGTGGCTCCTGGAGGAACTTGGTAGCCCTCTGTATACAACTTAAAGTGATGAATCAGTGACTCCATGGAAGTCTGAAGAGAGGAAAAAGGGAGAATCAATAAACCAAATCCAAACTCTGTCTCTTAGGCCTTCCCCTAACACAGAAAATAATCTCTACTCTCAGGAAGACTAAATCCACATGTAAGTCAGCCAGTAGAGAGGATACAGAATAAAACAAGAGAGCTATGGGAGATTAAAAATCTCTTATACAGTGAACTCTCTATAAAAAGAAACTGGGCTGTGCATGGTGGCTCACACCTGTAGTCCCAGCACTTTGGGAGGCCGAGGCAGGTGGATCACCTGAGGTCAGGAGTTCGAGACCAGCCTGACCAACATGGTGAAACCCTGTCTCTACTGAATTAATTAGCTGGGCATGGTGGCACATGCCTGTAATCCCAGCTACTTGGGAGGCTGAGGCAGATGAATCACTTGAACCTGGGAGGCAGAGATGGCAGTGAGCCAATACATGCCCTATTGCACTCCAGCCTGGGCAATAAGAATGAAACTCTGTCTCAGAAAAAAAAAGAAACAAAGAAAGAAAACTGAAAGGTAGGACTGAATCCAAGGATACTACTCCCCAGTTACTGCCCCCTTTCCAACACCCCACACTTTCCCCCTCCCTGCAGCCAACCTTCATCTCTGCTCGCTTAGGTGGAGACACTTTGGCATCATCAACCTTGATCTCTCCAGGAGGCATCTTGTTTAGACACTGTACAATAATTCTCAGGGACTGGCGCATCTCCTCCACCCGACACAGGTACCTGAAGTAGGTAAGACAGAGAAGAGAAGAACAGTCAGAGGAGCAGGTATGGGCTGGGAAGGATGGCCTTTGGCCAGCCTCAAAAGCGTTAGGTTAACTTTCCCCAATCTTTTCTCCAAGTGTAGCATCTCTGCTTGGCTTGGCCACCCATATAAACCCTGCAGTCTTTTTTTTTTTTTTTTTTTTGAGTCAGGGTTACACAGTTCACTGCAGCCTTGAACTCCTGGGCTCAAGGGATTCTCCCATCTCAGTCTCCAAAGTAGCAAGGATTACAGGCATGCACTACCACATCCGACTATTTTTTGTAGAGATAAGGTTTCACCTTGTTGCCCAGGCTGATCTCCAACTCCTGAGCTCAAGCGACAGCCTGCTTTTGGCCCCTCAAAGTGTGCTGAGATTATAGCCATGAGCCACCAGGCCCAGCCCCCTGTAGTCTTTTGCTTCTACTCTTGGGTGCTTCCCCAAACACTCTCATTTTCTCAGAACATGGCCTATAGTATTTCTTTAATTACCCCCTTACACACTTTTTAGAGGACAGAATGGGTGAGAGTCAAATGGACAAACAAAAATACACAGTAGCTACCAGTTAAAAAAAAAAACAGGCCAGGTGCGATGGCTCAAGCCTGTAATCCCAGCACTTTGGGAGGCCGAGGTGGGTGGATCACGAGGTCAAGAGATCGAGACCATCCTGGTCAACATGGTGAAACCCCGTCTCTACTAAAAATACAAAAAAAGATTAGAGGGGCATAGTGGCGTGTGCCTGTAATTCCAGCTACTCAGGAGGCTGAGGCAGGAGAATTGCCTGAACCCAGGAGGCAGAGGTTGCAGTGAGCTGAGATCGCGCCATTGCACTCCAGCCTGGGTAACAAGAGCGAAGCTCTGTCTCAAAAAACAAAACAAAACAAACAAAAAAAACAGACAAACAAAAAAATACACAGTAGCAAATCTAATTCAGGGCGGGTAAACAGGAGGAGAAATAGTTGTTTTTTTGGGGGACAGAGTCTCGATCTGTAGCCCAGGCTGGAGTGCTGTGGTGCAATCTCAGCTCACTGCAACCTCTACCCACTGGGTTCAAGCGATTCACCTGTCTCAGCCTCCCAAGTAGCTGGAATTACAGGCATGTGTCACCATACCTGGCTAATTTTTTGTATTTTTAGTAGAGATGGGGTTTCACCATGTTGGCCAGGCTGGTCTGAGTGCTGGGATCACAGGTGTGAGCCACCGTGCGGGCCCAGAGGAGAATTTGAAGCTAAGAATCTAGTAGAAAGAACACTGGATAAGGAGGATTCCAGTCTCAATCAATCACTTCTGCAGAGAAATTCCAGCTAATCCCTAACTTTTATGCCTCAGCTTTCTCAGTTATAAAATGCAGCCAAAGCTAGCTCCATCTAAGACAAGGATAATGTAAAGATAAAATAAGATGTCATAGGCCAGGCAAGGTGGCTCATTCCTGTAATCCCAGCACTTTCGGAGGCCGAGGCAGGCAGATCACCTGAGGTTTGGAGTTCAAGACCAGCCTGACCAACATGGAGAAACACTATCTCTACTAAAAATACAAAAGTAGCCAGGCATGGTGGCACACGCCTGTAACCCCAGCTACTCAGGAGGTTGAGGCAGAAGAACTGCTTGAACCCAGGAAGAGGAGGTGGTGGTGAGCTGAGATCACCCCATTGCACTCCAGCCTGGGAAACAAGAGTGAAACTCCATCTCAAAAAAAAAAAAAAAAAAAATGCCATGTATGTGAAAGTGCTTTGACAGCAACCTAGTTTAAGACACACAAGAGCTCCCACAGATACTGAGAAGCAAAGAAGGAAGTGGCAGAGAAGAGTGAGGCAAGAGAAACTAGCTGGACAATCAGCCAAGAAAGGATTGGGGCCTTACCTATCATAGCAGTCCCCGTGAGAACCAATAGGAACATCAAACTCAACCTGGTCGTAAACATCATAGGGCTGGGTCTTCCGCAGGTCCCACTGGATGCCTGAGCCCCGAAGCATCACTCCACTGTGGAAAGCATAATGGGAATAAGGACCACTCTCCACAAACCAAGTATAGCGGCTCATTCTTCCTCCGCCTCCCTTGTTTCTCCTTCACGTTCAGGGTATGACTAGGAGGGGCCAACAAGTCTTAAAAGGCGAGATAGTAGGTTGGAACTCCCCCACTCCCATCCCCACTCCTAAGGAGGGAAGTTGTATTCCCCTCACCTGAAACCATAGTTAAGTGCCTCTTCTGCTGTTATAACCCCAATGTCAACTGTCCGATTTCGCCAGATCCTATTGTTGGTCAGCAACTATCGATTGAGAAAACTGGTGTTAAGACTCTTCATCACACTCTTCAGATACCTCTGTATTTCTCTACAACTGGGGAATAAAACCCCGCAAGCCCTTCTTGTGGGGGAAAGAGAGACTTTTCCCATTGACTCCTAGCTTACCTCCTCCAACTCATCAAGCCGAAGAGAGAAGTTCTTAGAAAACTCATAAATGTCATCCATAAGCCCAAGAGGTAGGTCCTAGAAGCCAAATGAAGTGGTATGGAGTGCTGCATAGCCTCTGCGAAGGAGAGCCGGCTCAGTACCCCTCCCGCAGGGCTACAGGGTTGGCATTTCCATCAGCCAGCACTGCCCTCCAGTGGCCACAGGGAAAATAGGCCTGGGCTGGAGGTTTGGGGAAGCGGTGGACCTGCTCACCTGGTGCACCCCTCCTGGCCGGATGTAAGCAGCATGCATTCGGGCTCCAGACACTCGCTCGTAGAACTCAAACATCTTGATAGGACATGCTGAGAATTAGTGTCAAAGCCCCAGGCCCCCAGGTCCCATGGTGGTCTACTCCCCAACCTTCTGCCTTCTTGTTCCCAACCAACACCTCAT